CGCCAGTAGGGTATTTTGTGAAATCCTTTGAATTATGCATTGACGCGTTAAAGTGTTATGTGCATTTCAATTATTTGGATTATACTTAATTATGCAATTACTGAAAGTGAAATTGTTGATGCATTTCTGTTAATAGATCTCATTTTGGAAAATATTGATATCTTTCAACCATGATTATTTTTAGGATTATGATGATCACTTACTGAGTAGCCAAACTCATCAAACTATGGTAAACATTTTTCAGGATAACTGCGGTTTCATTTGTGTCCTCGTCAAGATCAACTTTGGGAAGATATTGTAGTTTTGCTTAAACTTTCTTTATTTACTTTGTAAGACCTCGCCACTGTAAATTTGTCCTATCAATAGATGTATATATGTTTTGTTTGTCACATCTTAGGAATAACAGTATTGTAAATTCTTGGGGTGTGACATATAATATTTTTCGTCCATTTATCTAGCATTTTTTTGTTCTCAACACCTTGTTAAACAGTTTGGTCAACCAAGCAATGTTGATCTCCCCGTGCACTTTCAAACCTATATTGGGATACCATCTGATCCTAAAGCTATTCATATCTTCATCCTCTTTAAAGCTTCTTTCACTTTCGATATCATAATCCTACGAATATATATATATATATATATGATGTCTGCCCTCATTTATGCCAACGGTTTTTCTACCAGTATATTCCCATTGTATTTGTCACAATCACTCTTGTCAGCCACACTTTAAAATAGGTGGTTGTCAGTGTGTTATTGACTAGACTCAATGTTTACAAAAAAATATCTCAAACTTTGTCAGGCACCAAAATCCATCAAATTTAATATGTAATAGCTAGGAGTGATTGTGACCTCCTTATAACAATAGTAAATGGTCTCATATGTACAATTTCAAAATTCAAAATTAATTTTTTTCGAGCTTTGGGACACACCCAAGCCATCAAATTTCATATCGGATGGTTATAAGTAAATGTGAAGATAAATGGTCTTATAATATATAATCCCTATTGGTTTTTGCTATGTTAAAGAAATGATGTTGTTTCTTATTATCTTTGCTCCATTGTTTTTATAAAATAGACTTCTAAACAACCACCTCACAAAAGTGGTCAATCTCATTGTTTTTTTAAAAACAACCATTAGGATCAGAAAATTTTGATCGGGATTGAGAACTGGTAGAGACTGAACTGCCTGTTATATAGGTACTCACCTAGTTCCTTCATGGAGCCCAGCGAGTCTATGAGGAAACTGAATTTAAATGAATTTTTTCTAAAATATTTAAGGTTTCTATCCAATCTCATGTGAACCGCCTCCGCCAATTTTGGCCAAACTGTCAAAAGTTTTTGAGCAAGAAATTAAGCAAAATTTAAAAAGATGGGGTCATACATGCGACCACATTCGAAAACTAACAAATCAGCCAAGAATAATATAGTCACTTTCTAAGTCAAAAAAAGTTAATTCTGACTTTGGGGCGATAATGACATATCACTAAGAAAATTAGTCGTCACAAAAAATTTGGTATTGTATGAGAGGGTTCAGAAGTTCCACACTAGTAGTAGCCATAGTACCAATAATAGGGTGCGGTTTCCATAAGGTTGCAATCTTAAACAATCCAATTAAGATGCACCTTCAAATTTATCATAACATTTATAATTTTGGTATAAAAATTTTTTAGGATTATTTAAAAATATATTTTCATATCTAAATATGAAATTTTAAACTCCATAAATGGCTAAAATCAAGTAGATATATAAATATATAAAAATATTGAAAATGGATGGTCTAGATAATGTGTTGCAAGATGCACTAATTCTGGGACTCAAAATCTCTTCTTTTTTTTCTTTTTTTTCGTATTCATACAACTCGATGTTGAGATGATCAATTAGAGGGCTTTTCAACATTAAAATAACCTTTTTCCGATGGATTTTTTAGGTGCATCTTTAATTCAACATTTTAAGGTTGTAACCTTATATAAACTTTTTTTCATAATAATAACCATGACAACAACATCAAGAATTCATGATAAAAATAATATATGAGAAAGTTTATATAAGGTTGCAACCTTATATTTTAGAGGTAAGGTACACCTCAAAATTCCAGTCCAAATGAGTGTTCCGAAGTTGAAAAACCATGCAATTGTTAATCTTGACTTCGATATGTATGGATATAAACAAAAAAGAGAATTTCTAATCCTAAAAATAGTGTGCCCTATAACAAGTTATTTGGACTACGTGTTTTCAATATTTTCAAGTATTTATAGATCCGTTCGATCTACACTTTTTAAATATTTTAAATTTTATAATTAAGGTCGAACATAGATTTTCAAGTCATCATAATATTTCTTTTTAACACAACTTCTAACAAAATTTGAGTGTAAGTTGGTCACCATATACAAACCTCTCCCGTACATATGGTATTTATTTTAAATAGGTGAGGCACTCAAGTGGGAATAAGAGGTGGGCCTTCATTTGGAGAATTGTCTTCACATTGTCACCATCGCATTGTTGCCATACGGGGATTCATTTGAATGAATGCAATGTTTTTTGGAATTGTGTTTGTGTTTTAATATGATCGGTGATGTCATCTGTGTAGACAAAAAAAAGCATAGCACTTTATTGACTATTTATAAGCATAACATGGCTCATCTAACAACATTCTTGCCATGACTGCATCTTTGTGTTGGACTTTAGGGAGCAGTGTCATACTCCTTGCTTATTATAGAAATTCAAGATTTCTCTCTCCTGACTAATTGGGTAGGCTTCTCTCTACGGTTTATGATTCAGGGGACGCAAATGTAGATATGCATACATAAACTACTTTTTCAATGTTAAATACTTAAAAGGAAAAAGTTTATATAAGGTTGTAAGTTGTAACCTTAAAATGTAAATATATAGATGCACTTTAAAAATCCATCCAAAAATGTTGTTTTAATGTTGAAAAACCCTTTAATTGTTGTTTTAATGTTGAAAAACCCTCTAATTGATGTATGACTATGAAAACAAAAAGGATTTTGAGTATAAAAAATAATGCATCTTACAACACATTATCTAGACCGTCCGGTTTTAAGATCAAACATAGATCTACTTGATTTTAACCATTTTTGGAGTTTAATATTTTATAATTAGCTATGAAAACAAATTTTGAAATAACCCTAAGAATATTTTACATCAAAATTATATGTCATGATAAAATTTGAAGGTGCGCCTTAATTGGATTGTTTAAGGTTGCAACCTTATGGAAATCACACCCATAGTTAAACTCTTTTGTGTATTTTCACAAAGGTAAACGTTTATATAGAACCTCTAAACAATCAAGTTAGGACCTCAAAAATTTTACTAGAAGAGGTTGTTTTGAAGCCCAAATATCCTCAAATTGATCATCTCGACATCAAGATGCATGGGCATGAGAAAGAAAAAAAGATGGATTTCAAACTTTAGAAATAATGCATCTTGTAGCGCATTTTTGGACCGTCAATTTTCAAGATTTTCAACTTTTTATAGATCTGCTCGATCTACGTTATTTTTTAAACGTTAAGTTTTATAATTAAAGATGAAACGATATTTTAAGGTTATCACAAAGATTTCCCGTATTGAAACCACATTTCTCGACACTATTTGAAGGTGCGCTTTACTTAAATTAGATAGAGCCTCAGCTCTCTACAAACCGCACCTTTTGACAAATTTCCCTTGATTGGACGATTTGTGACACTTGTACCTGTTACATTGTATACCTATCTCTGCATGTATGTGTATATATTTTTATGGGGCAGATGGCTATGATCCGGTGGGGTGCGATACGCTTGCTCCCACAGGAATAGTAGTATTACTCGGTGAAATTTTTTTGATCTGAACTGTTGAGATCTACTTAAAATTCACTAATGGTAATTTTTCACAAAAATTAGATTTTCAATCTTGAGACAGTATTGTTTTCCACTACATAAAAAGTACAATTTGATTTTATTTTATTTTCTTTCAAGGTTGGTCGTTAAATGGAAGATGTTATATCCCAAAATTTATGGCCCTAAAAATATTCCTCAACTTGGTTTTGCTCAAAGGAGCAAATGAACATTATGCTTCGTCAGGAGCAAAGAATTTCTAAAGTTCATATATGAAAGTATGAATTTTTTGACAATCAGAAATGGTCGATTAACATTGTGTAACTTTGAGCCAGGGGTGGCAATGGACCCGGACACGACTCGGTCCAAAAATTGGAACCGTGGGGTGATTCTTGGACCCGAACGCTATTCGGGTCCGGGTTCGGTCTAGATCCAAGTCTCATATTTCTGAATTTATAAAAGGAAAAAGTTTATATAAGGATGCAACCTTATAATGTAGAACTACAGATGCCCCTCAGAAATCCATCGAAAAAGGTAGTTTTAAGTTGAAAAACCCTTTGATTGATCATCTCAACATCAAGATGTATGACCATGAAAACTAAAAAGATTTTAAGTCTCAGAAATAGTGCATTTTACAGCATATTATCTACACCGTCTATTTTCAAAATTTTCATATGTTTGTAGATCAACTTGATTTTAGCCATTTTTAAAATTTAAAATGTTATAATTAGATAACAAAATAGATTTTGAGATAATCCTAAGAACATTTTACATCAAAATTATATACCATGATAAAATTTGAATACATAGGTATTTTAATTTTTTAGTCAAGTCCACTCAGGTTCAGTTGGGTCCAAAGCCGAATTGAGACCCACATTATATTTTTGGGTCTGAGTCTGGGTCCGCCCAACCCGTTGCCACCCCTACTTTGAGCCTTAAAAATGGTTGTATTTTTTCTCAATAACTTATTCTACATAACCGGCTATCTTGCTTCCATGATTCCGGATCCATAAAGCATATTCCTATTTCTAGTCGAAATCATTGAAATTAAAAATCAAAAGCAGACAAAGGGCGGAGGTCTCATGGACTACAATCCCCCTTACATAAATCCCACCAGACCTTCAAAAACACCAAAAAGCATAGAAACGCAATAAAAGAAAAAGGAAGCAGCATGAAGGAGCAAAAGGTGGTCTTGGTCACTGGATGTGCCAAAGGTGGCATAGGCTATGAATATTGTCTAGCCTTTGCCGGAAAAGGATGCCGAGTCTACGCCTCCGACATCGCGGTTCGGGTTCACGAGATTGCAGGCTTGCCCGAAAATGTAAGTAAACTAGAAATGGATGTCACCTCCGATGACAGTGTCACTAATGGAATCTCTGGAATTTTAGCAGACTCGGGCAGGATCGACATAGTCATAAACAATGCTGGCATTGGCTGCACAGGACCATTAGCAGAGGTCCCCTTGGATCAATTAAGCAAAGTTTGGGAGGTGAATGTACTAGGTCAAATCCGAGTGGCTCAAGCAGTGGTCCCTCACATGGTGGCACAAGGGTCTGGCACAATAGCGAACATAGGGAGTGTAGTCGGGTGGGCTCCGACTCCCTGGGCTGGAGGATACTGCGCTAGCAAGGCCGCAGTGCATGCATTCACAGAGGTTTTGAGGGCCGAGCTCAAGCCACTTGGAATGCATGTGGTGCTAGTGGTGCCTGGTGCAGTGAGGTCAGGGCTCGGGAAGGCTAACACTGAGGAGCTGGGTAAACAACACTGGAGATTGTATGCAAAATACGAAGAAGCCATTGCCGAGAGGGCGAGGGCCTCGCAAGGGAGCAAGGCAACAGATGCTGCTGTGTTCGCAAGACATGTTGCTCGTAGGGTGCTTGGGGTCCGGCCACCCCCGAAGCAGATTGTGTTTGGGCACATGACAGGACTATTCACAATGTTGGCTTGGTCACCTAGGTGGGCGAGGGATTTATTCTTTGCCAAAAGATTTGGTCTCAAGTAGTTACATGTTAATGTTGGCTTATGGCTTAACCCCCAATACAACATATCTAATACCTCGAAACTTGCCAATCACTGCAAATTGATTCTAATAAATTTAACACCCAATAATCGAATATATGGTGCGGTAGATTTGATAAAATATGATGAAATTAAGAGAAAGCAAATAGAAACCACATATTACAAATCATAATAGCACAACCACATATTACAAATCATAATCAAAGCACTATAGATATACAATATATGTGGTTCATCCAAAATCAAGCCATATCCACATGCAACCGACAAGGAAATGATTAAGTACCGATGGAAAAAATTTACAAGTTTGTGGGTTTTGTAGAAATTACTTCATACAATGGTAAAAAAAAATCAAATTGATTTTCCAATTGCAATAACATCATCAATCGACTCTTTGCTTTGTCTCCGTTGACTAATATCATGACCACAAGGAAATTCTGATGAAATCTGACCCAATAATACCAATGGAAAAAATTTACAAGTTTGTAGGTTTTATAGAGATTACCTCATACAATCAAATTAATTTTCCTACTGCAATAACAACATCAATGGACTCTTTGTTTCTCTCCGTCGACTAACACCGTCGCCACAAGAAAATTCTGATGAAATCCGGCCCAATACAAGGGCATAATGGTGTTAGGGTTTGTGCAAGAAACTTCCAATCTCTACCTCCTAAGAACTTCTCTGCACTTCTCTTATGTTTTTCTCTATCTAGAATTCATTTTTATGAGCCTCCATAAAAGGCTCTTTTCACATGACAAAATTACCCCTTAATAAAGAGGAAATACTGTATGGGAGTGATTTTGGCATCACATTCCAACAATCTTCACCTCGATGTAAAATCACACCCTTTCCATGCCGATCATATCCAGTTATTCCCTTTTTGAATAATCTAGATAAATTTAGCCAATGTCACGAGCTCTTTAGTCCAATAGCCATACGCATGTCTTGCTCATCTTTCTTCATGCTTGTTCTTCTTATGCAAACTCCACCTTATTTAATACTCTCATCATTGAGTTCTTGAGGTCATCTTGCCTTCACATATGCTCTACGTGAATCATTTTTTACACACCTACAAGCACAACTGGTGCTTGATCTCATAGCACCAATATCTTGTGCATAAGTCTCTCCCACGAAGCTTTGTTTATGTTCACGGCCTTGGAAATGCTTGCTCATACTCTTCAAATTTTGAAATACCCTCAATCCATTCCAAAATTTTCTTCCTAGGCTAAACACAAGCCAATAAAAAAAACCACAAACAAATTAAACAACAAATCTTATACTAACCATGACAATGATCAAAATCAACACTAAAGTAATATATAACACTTAAGTCATAACACTTAATATATCAAACTTTTATTTTTCAAAGTTCAAAATCATATCTTCCATCAAACTTCTCCACTTCTTCCCAAATTATTATACACTTCCCTTGAGCCATGAAACCACTTGTTGGAAACGAGGAACCGAGGCTAGCTTGATTACCTCTTATTGTTGTGAACCCCCCTACTACAACATATCTAATACCTCAAAACCAATTTGCCGATCACCCAAGAAATCGAACATCTGAATCAAATATATGGTGAAGTAAATTTGGTAAAAATATGTTGAAATTTCGAAAAAGTAAGATAAGAACTCTAATGGCACAACTACATACTATACATCATAATCAAAGCATCATAAACACACAATATAAGTGGTTCACCCAAAATCGGACTACATCCACCGGCAATAGGCAAAGAAATGTTTCGCTATCAATGGAAAAAATTTACAAGTATGTAGGTATTATAGAGATTACCTCATACAATAACATTATCGATCGACTCATTTTTTTGCTCCATCGACAAACATTGTTGCCGTAAGAGTATTCCGATAAAATCCGGCCCTATAGAAAGACACAATGGTGCTAGGGTTTGTGCAACAAGCCCCCAATCGCTATCTCCCATAAACCTCTCTACATTTTTCTTATGTTTCTCTTTAAATTCATTTTTATGGGCCTCCAAAAAGGTCTTTTCATGTGATGGAATTACCCCTCAATAAAGAGTAAACACTAAATAGGAGTAATTTTGGCATCACGTCCCAATAGGCATCATGATGCAAATTCATTTAAGGGATTTGGCCTCTTAGTTCAATGCGCGAGGCACAAGGACCTCACAACCACAGTCTTAAAAATTAAGATAATTTTGGTTCTTTTATTTATTTATCTATTTATTTATAATTTTGCTATGGGATTCCAATTTAGGACGTAGTGCTCCAAAAATCATCATGGCAACCAAATAAGGCCAAACGAAATCCCATAATCTGAAATAACCTGCCCACAATAAATGCACAAGGCCCTCTACAGTTTAATATCCCAAATTAAGATATTTTTTTTTAAGTTTAGTGGTAGGAATCAAACATAGGACCTAGTGCTTTAACCAATCAAACCCAAGTTGAAATGTCATAACTAAAATAGCATGTCAAAGATAAAGGGAAAACTCTTTATGCCCCCTTCCTAAAAGATCTAAATGTCGGAACCCCTCTAAAAAATTTCCTCAACAATTTCCTTGCCATATTTTTTCTTCGCATCTAAACACTGTGTAAAAGTTTTAAGCAAACTGGGACAAAAGTTTTTTTGTTCTAGATTGTTTAAACATTTCACTTAGGGGGTAGATGCAAAGACAAATAGTGGAAGGGATTTACTGTGAAGAAATTTTAGTGGTAGGTACTACGTGTGGGGTCTTTTAGGTAGGAGGAAATTGCAATTTTGTAGAGGGGCAATATGGATTCAAGGAAAAGTTTATATAAGGTTGCAACTTCACACTATTGAAGTAAGGGGCATCTCAACTTCTCAAAGAGAGTGCTATAAAGTTAGAGAACCCTCCATTTGATTTCTTAGACCTCAAAATATATGGATATGAAGAAAAATGAATTTTAAGTCCCAAAATAGTGTATCTTGTAACAAGTTACCTGGACCAATGATTTTCAAGATTTTCAAATGTTTATAGATATGTTCAATCTATACCATATTTAAATTTTAAAATTTAAAATTTCATAATTAGGGATAAAACTAGATTTTCAAGCCATCATAAGGTTTTAGACATAGTAACTACATCTCCATCAAATTTTAATGGTGCACCTTACTTCTACAGTATAAGGAGGGGCCTTATAAAAACCTTCAAAACCCATCAGAAAATGTGGTTTCCCTTCCGTTGATCATCTCAAACTGGAGGATGCCCAAGTTGAAGGTCCTTGCTTAGACCCATCTTATATCCGTCATAGATCTTGACCGACAATAGATGCCCACAATATGGCTCAAGTCGAAGGTCCTACCTTAGACTCATCATATATCTATCTTAGGTTTTGACCAACAACAGATGCCCATAAATGGCTTAAGTCGTAGGTCCTACCTTAGACCCATCCTATATATGTCTGTTTACGAGGAAAAATCATAGATCTTCGAGTGAAGATCCCCAGATCTGACACTACAAACTCATTACTCAAAGATGTGATAGAGAAATGCGATCAATTAAACTCTGATCTAAGAGCTGATCTATTCATATATGAATAGATCTTCTCTTAAATCAACGGCAGAGCCGACATCAATCCTTATAAATAGATTTTCTAAGGATTTTGATTTTAAGGATGTTTACTTGCTACTTTTGATCAAATTCATGTGGTTTGACGGTTTTCTGAATACTTCCTTTCCTCTTGACTGTAAAACATTCCATTTTGAAGTTTGGGTTTCCTAAGACTGGAATTTCATGGTATTTAGATAAATTTCTAGAATATTTTAGCTAGATTAGGACCGGGATCCTTATGGCTTATATCGGTTTCTAGTGCGTTGAGCTAGTGTGGTCCCTAGGGGTTTAGATAGGCATTTTTAATGCTTTTTTTATGGCTTAGGGATCAATTTCTATGCCTTGAGACCTAGAAATTCAGGAAAATTTGTCAATACCAAACTAGGTATCTGCACATTGAAAGACAATGATAGGCTATGGCTTTGGCTTTAAGAGCTTTGAACACTAAGATGCTACTGATTTAGAGGGGCTTTTTAGCGTAGAGGGCATTATTCATACACATGAGACCTATATGACAATAGAAATATTAGAGATTTAGGGGAACGCTATTTAGCAATTGAGCTCAAAATCATTCTATATTTTTTATAAAAGCTGGACTTACAAAGTTTTAGATAGATCACAGATCATTGTGGTAGGCTGATCTCAATAGGTAGGGGTCGCAACAGGAGTTAATTTAATAATATTTAGATTCACGGTGGAAATGGAAGGGACCAAAAAATCCTTCAATCTTAATACCTACGAGTGGAAGACATTGATTGACATATTGGGAGAAGGTTGTGTCCTATTTAATTTCAATGGTCTAAAAAACCTCATAAAGGTAGAGGCATACGTGATGAGGTCGACTTGAAAAGGATAAGGGAGCTAGGGATCAAGGTTGGATGGTTGGACCAAAGGGGCTTAGTACAGTAAGATGTGGGGTACCTAGGAGGTGCATATGGTGTGGTTGCACAAAGAGACTATGATGAAGATTTGATGAGAGAAGCCACAAAGCTATGTATATTGAAAGAACCTCAAGTATGTCTTCCAAGAGGCCTATATCAACATGAGGTATGGCCTCGTATGTGGTTGCCTTGTAAAAAGCCATCTTTGTGGCCCATTGATGAGGTAGACACTTGAGATCTATCTCAGTATTCTAGACCTGGTTTTGGCAATTTTTTCTTCTTAGACCATAAGTAGGACTCCTAATTACCTATAGGAAACCTCTTATATATTGTAGCACCCCTTAGATACAAGAATAAACCATACTAATACCTTGTACTTCCCATAAGATTCAGCCTAGGGATCTCACTCATTGGCATATAAGACCTATTCCATGTTGTCGGGAGCTTTCGACCGGTCCAAAAATCACTAAATTCCAATATACGTTTTGAAAGTCATGGGCAAAATACCAAACAATATCTAAAACAACTATATGGTCCTCCAC